CGGTTGCAGTTTGTCCCCGGCCCTGGTTGGTCGTGCGGGTGGCAGCCACTCGATGTGTCCCTTCACGTCGATGTTTCTCTCTCTCTCCCTTCCTCTCTCTCCCTCCCACTCTATCTGTACAAAAAATGGAAAAATATCCTCGGGTGAGGATAAAAAAAATAAATAAATAAATAAAGTGTGTAATGAAACCATTCACAGTTATTATGGTCACTAACATGTTTGAAATTACTTGGTGCATTTTTATGTTCTTCTTATCCTCCTTCCTGCATTTTGAGTCATCCAATTTTTATGGTACATTTTTTCTCCAGAAGTTTGGAAATGACAAATCTTATTTCTAGAATTCTAGAAGATATTCTTAATTTATAGGCAACTATATTAAAACACCTTTTCTACTGCTATCTAGAATTAACCAGTAAGATTTAGCAACTTGATGTTATCCCTCAATCATAAAATTTCTAAATGTATATATTTTAAAAGTTCAAATTTCTATAATTTCCTTTGTCTTTAAAAAAATCACATAGCTTCAGAGATTTTTCTTTTATATCACATTGTTAAGTAATTTTGTTTTTATCCTGTGTTTTTCCTGGCTTCATTTGCACAGTTCTCTTCAAGATATAGGAAATTGAGCTGTCCCTGTACGTAGTGTGTGTGCGTGTGTGCGAGCGTGTGTGTGTATGAGGGAGGGAGGAAGACAGAGAGAGAGAGAGAGAGAGAGAGAGAGAGAGAGAGAGAGAGAGAGAATGAATCAACACCTTACTTCTCTCCCATAAAAATTCCCAGCAAAAAACCTGGAGAATGCTTTTGTTTATTAGCTCACAAAATTGTAGGCACCTAGAGCTGGAAAGAACCTTTGAGGTTACTACGTTCAATCTTAATAAACCAACTAATTCACTTATAATCAATTCATTCAACAAATATTTTCACGTACTTACGTTTCAAGAACTGTAGTTGGTGCCAGATAGATAAAGATGAACAAATAATACATGCTTTCCAAGTGAGAAGGCTCACATTCTAGTGGGTGAGGAGACAGAGACACATGCACAGATGTTTGTGCAAGGAAGACCATTCCAGGGGGAGTGCTGCCTGAGGAGGTGTTCTTTGGGCTCAGACTATTTGCTTTCCCTCAACCATGGCAGTAACTTCTGCTTGAGCACTAGCAGTGCATGTTTGGACAGTCACATTTGTTAGAACATGTATTCCTATGGGGCCCAAACCCACCTTCCAAACTCTTCCATCACTGGTCTAGATGTTGCTCTCTAGAGCTCAAATATATCTATCTATCTATCTATCTATCTATCTATCTATCTATCTATCTATCTATCTATGCACTTACACATGCTGATCTTCACTTAGCAGTGCTTTAGATGTTTGTTCTTCTGAAGTATTTTCCTTTTAAAATTAAGCATTCTAAATTTTGTATATTCTGCCCTTTTCCTGATCTTTCTTATATTGCTGCTCTCTAATGTATCAATATGACCTTTTAACTATGTTTTCCAAACCTGTATAAAATAATGTAAATTTACTCAACTTTTGAAAAAGAGCAAGGGGACTGTCATCTCCTTTATCCAGACAAAATATGCATGCTTACTCGGTCTAAGATCACATTTACATGTTGTAGCCTGATCATACTCTCTCATTTAAAGGATGTATTCATGACCAGTCTTTTTCCAAATAAGATGCCAAAGTGCTTTAAATATTAAATAGCATTCCATAATTTCCCAGCATTGACATACTACAGAATTATATGAATTAAGACAGCAATAATGTCTGGTCTTTTGAGCAATTTTTTTTTACCCTCACCTGAAGATATATTTTATTGATTTTAGAGAGAGAGGATGAGAGGGAGGGAGAGAGAGAGGGAGGGAGAGAGAGAGAGAGAGAGACATCGATTGGTTGCCTCCCACACACACCTGGACCCTAGACAGAACCCGTAACCTGGGTATGTGCCCTGAATGGGAATCAAACCCACAATCTTTTGGTGTACAGGATGATGCTCCAACCAACTGAGACACATGGACAGGGCTGCTAAGCAATTTTTAGCCATGTTGAGTCATATTATAGAGACTGACTCCTGCATACTCACTCTCCAAACGTATGGCATTACCATGTTTTCTTTCTTCAGAATTCATTATCATAAAAAACAAGACAGGCACAGGATATTTTCAGATTTCCTTAGTGGCCTTGCTACCATACACCCAAAAAATCACCTGAGCAAGAATTGAACTGATCTTGCTGATGGTGTAAAGTCCCAAAGGAGCTTAGAATCTTCTAGAAAGAAGAGCACAGCTACAAGTAGGAAGAATGAGCTGCTAAAAATGCAACTGCAGCATGGGGCATGTATAGAGTACATGGTGGTGTGCACCATGTTGAAAGTTTAGGACCGGATTTTTTTCCCCCAAAGGACTGCATGTGTCTCTAGTTTGAAGGCAAGATCCTGAAAATTAGACTTTCACAATTTCGTTAAAAGCCAACATTTAAATATTCTAAACTAAAAGTATCTACAGCAGTTAAAAAATAATTCACTATGTCATGTCCCTCAAGTTCCCCAAGCACAATCAAGACTTACTGCTGTCTCTAGACGAGTAGTTTAATTTTTAAAAAATTTATTTTTATTGTTGAAAGTATTACAGATATCCCTCCTTTCTTTTTCTCAATTGACCCCTCCTCCCTACTCCCTTTACCCTGCCTTCGCTGCACTGTTGTCTGTGTCCTTTGGTTATCCATATGCATATACGTTATTTGGTTTATCTCGTGTCACCACCCTTCCTTCTGACGTTTGTCAGTCTATACCCTATTTCTAAGTCTCTGGATCTATTTTGTTCATCAGTTTACTGTGTTCATTAGATTCCACAAGTCAGTGAGATCATGTGATATTTGTCTTTCTCTGATTGGCTTATTTCGCTTAGCATACTACTTCCCAGGTCCCTCCATGTCATATTAAAGGGTACGATATCTTTCTTCTTTTATAGCTGCATAGTATTCCATTGTTTAAATGTACCACAACTTTTTAAAAAATTGATTTAGCCCTGGCAGGTTTTGCTCAGTGGTTGGAGCGTCGGCCTGAGGACCAGAGAGTCCCAGGTTCAGTGGCTGCTAGGGGCGCATACCAAAAAAAATATTGATTTATTTTATAACAGATGTTTCTCCTTTTTCCCCCACTGACACCCTCCTCCTGATCCCGCTCCCCATAGCCCCAGCATTGTTGTCTATGTCCATTGGTTATGCATACATGTGTGTAAGTTATTTGGTTTATCTCTTCCTTTGTCCCTGTCCCCTTCTTCTGAGGTTTGTCAGTTTGTACTCTACTTCTATGTCTCTGGGTCTATTTTGTTCATCAGCTTATTTTGTTCATTATATTCTACAAATAAGTGAGATCATGTGATACTTGTCTCTCTCTGATTGACTTATTTTGCTTAGCATAATACTCTCCAGGTCCCTCCATGTCATCTCAAAGGATAAAAGTTTTTTTTTACAGCTGTATAGTATTCCATTGTGTAAATATACCACTGCTTTTTTAATGCATTCATCAACTGAGTAGTTAAGTTTTCCTACCAATACTATCCTATCATTTCTACCTCTTCATTTTCACTGTTACATAACAGCCATAAAAATAAGTAATTTAAAATTAAGTTTGGTATAGAACTTATTTAATTTCTTTAAAAAAATAAAATAAGGATTATTGAAGATTATGAATTGAGAATTCACTTCACCATTATTCAAATAGTTACTACATACATTTTCAGTATTTCGAAGTTCACAATGTGAATTTATCATTTGTAAGATTTTTAAGAATGTTTACATTTGTGCAGAAATATGGAACTTTTCTAAAACAATAATGAGAACTCACATACTACCTCTGGATATTTAAAAGAAAATCACACGTTATAGCTAGGTCATAATTTTTAACATGGTATATGTTAACATATGTTTTAAGATATATTCTTGAATTCTAAAATATTGCACTTGTAGTTTATACTATAGTTTATATAAAAATTTCTATTAAGCCTACATGTTTTACATACTGCCTTTTCAAAACTTTGAATTTCTCCTATTATTTTAATTTTTTTGTTATCCATTTCAATAGAACCCTTATATAAAGTATATATATATAAAGTACTATATATATATAGGAGCTATATTCAAAAGGAAACAGCAAAAATAATCACCGGAAAAATAAAATTTGAAATAGCTTTGGAAATGCTTTATGAAAGACTTTTCTTTATTTGTGGTAAAAACATCATGAAATACACATGCAATTAAAATGTTCAGAAAAAGATTTGGTTTGTTTTGGGTTTAGCATGCATTGTTTTTGCTGCAAGTTAATGAAAAGTATGGTTTTAAATAACATGTATCATTGTTTTGTTTTTTTAATACAACAGATACTTCTAGTTTTTTGCTTTTTAATAGAACATAGTCAATATGGGTTTTTAAAAACAGATTATAGTCTTATTTTAAGACACTTGATTCACTGAAAGTTTTTACTAGAATGAATAGTAAAATTTCACATGTACCTGGAACCATATTTATTTTCTAATCTCAAACTGCTTATTTTTCACATAAAGTCATTTCCAAATCTGCTTAGAGGAATGAGCCTCTTGCAAAATGGAAGGGGAAAGAAAACAGTTAAATAAAATAAACGTGTCATTTTAACTGCAGATTTCACACAAAGGAACACAAGGCAACTATTGACAGTATCTTTTAAACAGCCGAGTGCCATCTGCAAAGCCTGAAGATTTGAAAATACGTATTTACATCAAATGTATTTATAAAAATCCATTCCAAGGTTTGTGAGAAATAAGTTAATTCTCCCCCCACCAAAGTATCCGTGGTGTATATGCTAACTTACTGAATTCATTCTTCATGCAATTCCAGTTTATTAAAGAGGTTAAAAATTTATAAAACTCTGATGGGATATGGTTTTAATGCTTCATCACACTACCCATCATTTGCTTTTCAATCTAGATCACAATGATCTTTCCTACTTCCCTGCAATCACCTACCTGCACAGCTAATATTTTCTGAATGCTCTCTTGAGAGTCTGTCTGGAACTTGGCCAGCTTCATCTGGCTGTAGAGGACCACCAGTTTGAGATACTTCTGCCACACCTTGTGTATCCTTCTTTGCAGCTGACAGAGCTAAAGGGAAGAGGGGGGGGGGGGGAACACAAGTCAGAGTAGGAGAGGAAATTAATGGCAGTGTTCAAGAAGAATGATGGAGGGAAATATAGAAAGCAGTCAATAGCCCATTCTGCACTGTGCGGACCTGACAGGAATTTCACAGTCTCCTGATTTTTCAGCCCACTCATGTGCACTCATCAGAAACCAGTCACATCTGGCCGCCAGGATGGGGGGTTAATTTTCTCTAAATGCCTCAGCAGTTTTGTTCTAGCTGAGGCAAACTCTGTGACTGCAAAGCTGATGAGTAAAATATTTCTACTTCACCCAGTTTAACTCAAAACCGATAGCCTCGGGACATATTGAACCTTTCTTTACAAAAAAATCTTTTAAAGCTGTTTTGAATGGCACATCAGGTCAAGCCAAAGTTTAAAAATGCAACTTTAAGACTTTGATGGACACCATTGCTTCTTTTTTCCTCATAAAGCTTACCATTGCTTGGCAATGTGTGCTTTAGAGCATGACAAAACTAAAGAGAATTAACTTAGCCATCAACTGCTGAGGGAGAACAATAACAGGGAAGAAATTTCCAGCTAGAACTCCCTATTAATCTACCTCCCTCTGACTATGTGACATGGAAACATCTCACTGCACCAAAGTACAGTGGATGCAACGCTCAGTAGGGACACGTTTAATACTGAATTTATACATAAAAAGCAAGATTTCTGTGAGACATTCTATACCTTTAGGAAGTTTAATATAAAACCAACCAAAAAACCCTGTAGACGTTTAAGACAATGCACATTTGTCAGCATAGTCACACTTTGCAGAAATGTTCTAATTAGGTAATTTTCAAAGAAATAAACTTCATACAAATTAATCGCAAAATCCATACAAACACTTACATATAATATATTCTGTCACAGAAACTTCATTTGGATTTTGATAATGTGGATAATTAATTATATTGATTTATTTAGTGCATTTTGTAGAATAATAAACATCAAAAATTTCATATCAAACATTTCTTCACAACAGAATAAAACGTCACAAAATATAGCTCTTTTATATTTTACTGTTGACCTGGGTATATGTAAGGGATCCATTGCAAAACTTCATCAAACAGTACATGCATAACTAGTACATTTTTCAATATGCATATTTCAATAAAAGTTTACTTACAAATAACACTTTTAAAAAGTTACCTGGTATTGCATGTGAATTATTTATCATCATTTATGCATTGTAATAAGCATAATACGTTCACAGGCAAATGAAGTCTATATTCTTGGTCAACTGGTTAACAGGAAGAAAATTTAACCTTAAAAACTATAACTATTTCAGCTTGCTAAATGCTGAAATACATTACCTGGAATTAGTTTATGGGCATTTCCAATAATTTAGGCTATTAAATTAAAGAGTAACATCACTTTTTGAAGAGGAAATTTGACAATATTAATTAACTGCTGTAATATTTTAACATATTTAAACAAAATATTTTAATAATTTTAATATAATATTAAAATATTTTTCTGCCAACTCTGACAGCCAATGATGGGAAGGTATGCTTTATCTTAATATACTCAGTAAGACATTAGGATACCTTAGTCTATGCTATTTATTATTATTTTGTTATCCATAAATATGACAAAAGGCAAATATGAGGGAGATGAGTTTTAGAGAAATACTTTTAAGTGAAGGTAAGTTTTTCAAATGGGAAATCTTCAATGTGTGGAAGGTATTACCAGAGGGAGTGAATGGTAATGTTTCCCACATTCACATCTTAAATGAGGAGAAGCAGCTGTACACAGTCAGTCTCATGTATGCAGTTTTCTGCATTCGCGCATGCAGTAGCCACAAGTGCCTTAAATTAGTCCATATACAAGTGTTCACTGCAGCTACTTACGTAGAGAAGTTCCTTAACTATCAAGAAAGAGTAGTAGTATCTCAAAGAAACAGTTTTTTGTTTTGTTTTGTTTTGAAATCTATAGCTAACAGTCCTCTGGAAAAAGAACCAGGATAGAGGGGGGAAAAAAGGAAGAAATTCTTGAGAAAAGAAACAGCATTCAATAAAAGTCACATGTGCACACATACATACACATACATTAGAGACAAAAAATGATCAACAAAAATGTATAGAAAAAAATGTTAAAGATGCTGAGAAAGATGTTTGCGAAGAGTTGGTCATGATGACAAGTGTTTTAGGAAAGTGATTATGAGAAAAGCTCAGTAATAATATGTCAGCAGACAGTGATCATTCAATAAATATTTATTAAATATAACTCAATAAAGTGAACTCCGAGAATTTTAGTGGCAAAAATGAATAAGTGAATAAGACTTTCAGGAACGTAGTAATTAGTGGGAGAAGAGAAAAATAAACCATGAAATGGAGGAGACAAAAATATACATCCTTCAGCTGACGGCAGAAATGAGATTGGAAAACCAAAGGAACTGGAATGTTTCTTCTCTCTCCAAACTCCATTAGCCCAGAATTTTTTGGAATGAAACACTCCAATGATTGCATTCCTGAAATGTAATCATTAATTCTGAAAATGATTACATTCCTGCCCTCTGATTCAGAATTTAGAGAAGGGAGGTGGGATGAGGGAGGAAGTGGTAGAGAAACAAAAAGGGATAGTAGCCCTGGCCGGTTTGACTCAGTGGTTAGAGCGTCGGCCTGCGGTCCTGAGAGACCCGGGTTCGGTTCCCCCTAAGGGCATGTACCTCGGTTGCAGTTTGTCCCCGGCCCTGGTTGGTCGTGTGGGTGGCGGCCACTCGATGTGTCCCTTTCACATCGATGTTTCTCTCTCTCTTCCTCTCTCCCCCTCCCACTCTACCTGAACAAAAAATAGAAAAATGTCCTCAGGTGAGGATAAAAAAAAAAAAAAAAAAAAGGGATAGTGAGGGACAAAAACACACTGGATTAACTTGTCATGTACTTAGAAATAGAAATGTAATTTAGAGCCATTGGCAGATAAATTGAACTGCTGCTGAGCCCCAAACAAATACTGCAAGAATTTTGGAAGAAAATGGATATATTCTCATTGAACTAAGAAGGAGCATATTAGAACAGGAAAAGTCATTTTAGAAAAAGATCCTCAATTCCATTGCCCTCAATTTTGTTTTATGAAAGAGAAAGGGAGGATATTCCGTTTTATCAGGAAAGCTGAATCGGGAAACAGTTGATGTGTACTCTGAGCCATTTAAAAGAGCAAAAAACGAAATTAGGGGAGTTCTCTGACAGTGGTTTCTGAGCAGTTTGGATTTGGAGTAGGCTTGCTAAGCCGGCTCTAGCACTTGGTTTCTGAGCTCTTTGCTGAAGGAAGCACAAAGATGGAACTCACTAATAGTTCTTTTGAGATAATGATTACTATGTACCTATTTATGAACAGAAAACTCAATCAATGCCCACTCTGACATGGTGTCATGAGATATAGAGAGCTGGCGATCTTGTGGGTATTGCACAGAATGTACATTTGTGAGCACTGTATACAATACACGTTTATATATTTGGTGTAAATACATTCCTAAATTTGATTAGGCTCCCATGACATTCATTAAAATTTTAAAGTTTGAGACGATTTGACAGTAAGGCAGAGTAAATTAATATTGTGACATTCAAGAATGATTGTTTCCTATTTAACACACTAAATTACATGAATTCTGTTTTTAATCCGAGTTATTTTGTTCACCTATATGAATTAATGAAAATCTAACTCTTTTAGATCATACAAACCTGGATTTAATACTAAATGCAATCATGCATATATTATGACACACAAAACCTTTAATTATATGAATTTAGCTTGATATTATTTCATTATTGTTATGCATATAAAGATTAAAAGAATAAAATAAGAATATTTGATATTCCAATTATAGGTTTCAAAAACATTAGGGCTTACCCATAACCAAATGAGCACCAAAATATTACTTTGCATCTTTCTCGTGTTCTCAGCATTGAAATTAGAAATTCCAAAGTATCACATTTGTAGGTATTTTCCAGGGACAGTTTAGAGCATACAAGTTTTTGGTTTACATTATAGAAAACATAAGAATAAAGTAAAGTCTTATTATATCTAGCCCAAAGGGAACAATTGGGACACACTGCAGAAGAATGGGATAAAATAGAGTTAAAGAATATTTGTTATTTACTGTGTCTGAGAAAATAAAAAGTGTTCAGAGGTGTGATTTTAAAAATAGGCCCTGAAATCATTTGATATTCCTTTATTTAAGAAGTGAAGCAGAATTCCTGTCCCCTTGAGTGTGGGCTGGACTTAGTAACTTTCTTGTAAAGAGCAGAATAGCAGAAGTGATAGTATGCCACTTTCAAAACACACCACACACACACACACACACACACACACACGCACACACACCGACAGACCACAGGCATAATGGTGGCTTTTGCCCTGGCTTTTCTCTCTCTAATTCTTTCAGATCTTTTGAGCCAGGGAAGCCAGCTCTCATGTTGTGTGAACAGCTCTGTGGAAACACCCTCATGGTGAGGAATTGAAGCATTTTTTGGCCAACAGCTCTGTGAGTCACCTTGGCAGTATACGCTCCAGCCTCCTCAGGTGATTGCCACCTGACCAACATCTGCATGGCAACCTTGTGGGAGACCCTAAGCCAAAATCACCCAGCTAAGCAGCTCCTGATTCTTGACCCTGAGAAACTTTGTGAGAAAATAGATGTTTGTTGTTTTAAGCTGCTAAAGTTTGGGGCAAGTAGTTATACAGCAATAGTTAACAAGAGATTCTTAACTCTTCCTCTCTTTGCCTAGTAAGGAAATAATTTACTGTCTATATTTTCTGACTGTAAAGTAAATTCACTGTTTGGTGTAAGACTGAAACTGGAAATGATTTATTAGTAATAAGACTGTGATTAATAATTACTTATTTAATTGATGAAATATAGTTTGTTCCATCTAAGAGCTCATTATTTTAACTGAAGACAGTAAACAGGATCTATAATTTAATAGTTCCAGAAATTTAACAGTGGTTCATTGTCAACAAATATTT